ATTTTTCTGTAGCATGTGGGTCTCTGTAAGCAAGAACTGACTCAAGAGCACCTAGCAACAACAAATACACAGTCATTTTAAAGCAGAGTTGTATTTTCCTTCTACATATTTGATTTTTTAATTTGATCTTCCTTTTGTTGCCTTTGAATGTTATAAGGTTTTTACCTGAGAAGTTTCATTGTAAAATCTTGATGCTTTATCATGTATTGGGGCTTCTTTTGTGGTCTGCCATGTGGTCTATTCTGAATATGCACGTGCACTGAAAAAGAAGTGTATTGTATTGGTAGTGGAGGGAGTGCTCTCTATATATTTAAGAAGTTTAGTTGATTGTTTTGTTGTTTAGATCTTCTCTGTCTTTGTTGAGCTTTGTTCTAGTTGTTTTGCCCTGCATCCAGGGTGGTTTATGAAGGAATCCAGTCATGTTGTAGAGTTGTAGATGTCTCTTTTCAGTAATGCTAAACTTTATGAGCTTTAGCACTGTTTAATTGGGTACAGAGACATTAGGATTCTATTTCTCATTTGATTCACTCTTTAATCATGTTATTTATTCATTCTATTATCATGTGTACTGTTCTGTCTCTCTTATAATGGTTTTTTCCCTTAAAATCTATTTTGTCAGAAATTAATATTGCTACCTCTGCTCTTTTGTAGGTGCAATTTATTTGTCCTCCTTTTTATTTTTAGATGCCATTGTATCTGAGGTTGGTCTGTTGGAGACACCTTATTGGTGGTTCAAGGAATCTTATCTGTTCTTCCACTTGCTGTCTCTTGATTGTTACATTCAATCCATTGTAGCGATTGATCAGTATGAATTTAAAGCTGTAATATTGCTGTACATTTTATCATTTTATTTTGTTCTGTGGTGTTGCTAGTTCCTTTGTTCCACATATTTTTCTGTGATTCATTTCTGCGTTTATGGATTCCCTTTTATTTTTCCTTCCTTGCTGTTGACTCTGTACTTACACTTTCTGATTTTCCCTATGTTTTAATTTTGATTAGGAGGTTCGATAATTTTCTTTGTGATTACCCAGCAGCATGTTACTATCTTCTTAGCTTTAAAATGGCCCATTCTCTCTTGATGTCATCTTGACATAATCTCTATTTAGAAGTTCTATAATTGCAGCTTTTATTCTTTCTGTTTACTTTGAATTTGTCATTGTTTATTGACTGACGGCTCTCTTTCATTTTAATATTAAAAACATTATTTTATTTTCAGCCACACAAAATACAACAAATTTCTCCAATACCAAGAGTAGCCTCTTATCAGTTCTTCTTTTATAGCACTGGACATACAAGAATAAATTTTTTCTGGTAATCAGGAATCAAGACATAGAAGCCCTAATGATAAGAGAGTTTAGTAGTCAATATCCCGAAAACCAAGAGAGAGCATATTTTGCTTTTAAAGTAAAGGATAGACATTGTACCATATCCTTTGTTCATACAGCATTTTACTGTGGGCTGGGCCATTCCATAATGGCCTGCATAATTTTTCTCATACACAGTTCACTTCAAATGGATGAGGTACTAACTATAAAACAAGCCATTTTAAGTGCATTTTACATTATTTGAAGTACTCGTGGGTAAAAAGTAGAACTCTACAACTTATTTTAAAGGAAAACACAAATTCCAGGAATTTTTTTTATTGTTTGAAAATAGCACACACAAAACCAGACAGAGAAATCCCTAAGGAAATGATGATCATATTTCAATGGTATCTGTCCTTTGGTCCTTCATTTTAAGCACTTAGATATTTTTTCTTTTTATGCTACTAAGCGTTTATTTTGATCACAAATGCAATCCAAATGTGAGTAAATAAATGTTTTTATCTTTTAATACTTCCCCCACACACACAACATTCTTTTGAATAGAAAAAGGTGGGGGGATTGCTCAATGTCTTCTCAGAGTCTATTTGGCCATAGTTGGCCCACCTCTTGCCTTAAAAGCAGATTGTAAGTTGGTCCTCCAACACCCCTTTTGAACTATTGCTCATTCTGGTACATCCAGGGGCAGCAGACCTTATTGGTATTGTCGAGAGTCTCCAAAAGCTGAGAATGGTATCTGAGTTGAAAACAACTTGGTGAGATCTTCAGCAAACTGAGGACCATTGGGAAACTACGCAGAGGCAAACCTAGGAGAATGCCACCCACTGCAACGGACCCTACCATGGGCACCAGTTCACCTCCTGCTGCCAGCCTAGCTCCTGATAAGACACCACTTGGGATGCAGCTCCAGGGACCTTCTTTCCCTCTGATGTGAGCCGCACTGCAGTCCATCGTGGAAAACAAACCTCCCCAAACCACAAGGAGGCCTCCCGACTGTGGCACCCTGCTTTTAATTGCTGTCAAACTCCCTCATAGTCTATAGTTGACGCTCACTGGAGAATTCCGAAAACCTTTGATTGCTAGGAAGATACAACTACCTATGGTGCCCATTGTCACCACTGAAATCCACAATGCACCAAGGTTCTCACGCACACTCCACCGTGACTCCAGCAGCGTGAGTGATGGGACTGACATCTCTTGGTACCTTCTCACAGTCTCATTCCTTTGTTTTTATGTCCGAAAATTCTTTTTCGGAGTTGGATTCTGAATGATGTGGTCCAGTTGTCTGTTGGTGTTGGCTCTCTATTCAAATGAATTCCTTTAGCCTTTGTTGTAAGGTTGGTCTGGTCCTTCAAATTCCTTTGATTTCTGTTTATTCAGAAACACCAAATTTTGCTATCCTATTTGAAGAAAAATATTGCTCGATATACAATTCATTGTTTGTATTTTTCTTCCAATATTTTATCTGTGCTATCCATTGTGTTATTTCCTGTATGGGTTCTGCCAATAAATCAGTGGTTGGTCTTACTTTTTCTGTCATGTGGGCGTCATTTCACTTTTTCTAAGCTGCTCTTGGATATTTTTGTTTGTCTTTGATTTTGGATAGTTTCATTATATTAAGTCTTGATGGTTTTCTTAGTTTTCTATCCTATTTGAAGTTTGTCAATCCTCTCAAATGGATATCTACTCATCTTTGAAGATAATAAGGAAGTTTTGTGTCATTAAATTGATAATTTTATCTGTGCTCTTTTGCTGTTATCTATTCCACTTCTGGAATTCAATCGTACACGAGTCATTTCTGCACATTGTTTTAAAGTTTGCTCCACACTGTTTTGGGTTTGATATATCAAGAAAGGTAGGGCGCATGTTCTGCTTTGGTCACTAGCTTTATAGCACAGGGTCCTCCCCAGCTGTCTTAAATCAGTATGGTAGCAGGTGGTGTGTGGACATGGATCTCTGCTGCTCAAGTAGAGCAGCTCAGGTTGGGTTGGGTAGGTATTGGCCACTATATGTTATCAATCTAGTGTTTCCGGAGTGAATGGTGACATTGACTCAGTGGATGGGATAGTAGACATGTTGGGTGTGGCTAGCTAATGTGGACTAGCCACATTAGCTCTGTCTTTTCTGCATGGATTTAGAAAGAGGAAAAGAGGATAGGGAAAAAGCAATGCAGCAGCAAATGGAAATAGACACCACCGACTAGAGAAGCAATGGTGGCACACGGAAACTTGCACTGCCAACCGAAGAAACAGTGGGTGTCCGATGCTCCTTCTGTAGGAAGTTGTACTGCCAATTGCAGAGACCATGAGTATAATCCGTAAGTATGCTTCTTACAAATCACAAAAACAGCAGGTTTGCAACGTTTGATTTGTCGGAGCATGCCACAGGCCACCAGTGGAGAAGACCATTAGGATGTTTTAGGAGCAAGTTAGCAGAATTATTAGACCGCTGAGTTGAAGAGGAGTGGTGATAGGTGGCATTAACAGGGGTGGGGTGGAGTCGGCTTAAACCCTGGTCACCAGACAGGTGTGGATTTAAGGATTTGAACATATTTCTCCAGGCCCTGGTCACCACCATGGTGCTGGTACACTCTGAGCTGAGTCAGGTATCTATTTTCTGTCCTTACTTTAAACATGTGCTGGGCAAGGGAGGGGTGTAACTTTAGTTAAGAGCCTCCAGCTGCTACTCTCGCGGGCCTTTTCTACCATGCGGGTTTCCACTCCCCATTATTAGCTCCTAGACTGTTTTGTGTTCATCTGAGTGTCTGGAGTTCTTGGTATTTTTCTATACTTCCCTTCTTCAGATCCAGTGATTGTGCTTTGCTTCACTCTGAATTTGACTACACTGTCCCTTTCATATTGGAATTTTGTGAAGTGCCTTCCTATGTTCCTCAGGTGGAGCACTGTTTATAATGACTCAAACTGGCCATAAGATGTACGGCTTGATAAGAAGGCACCTTCACTATGACTCTCTCCTCCTTCGTTGATTTTGTTCCATTTCTTCTTCCAATCAGTGTTTTAGGTACTTTTTTGTCCTTTCATTTGAATCTCAGGATTCCAGGATTATCTTCTGCTTCAGTTTCACTTGGTTTCCTGGGTATTTCTGTAAAGGAGGGTCTATTTTGCCATTTTAGTCCCACGTTGAGTTTAGAACTGAGAGATTATTTTAGCGATTACAACACTGATCAGGAGATGATTTCTATCTTGTTGCAGAAAAATTCCAGGGTTTTCATAACCAGAAAACCAGATAGTTTCTTATCATTTGTGTGTATGGATGTAGGCTAATTCATGCAAGTTAGATATTAGATTTGATAAAAATAAACAAAACTACACTCAATTTCATCCAAAGTCTCTTAATTTTACATAGTGATGATTCTGTTCATACTACATAGCTTTCTAAAGACAGATTTGTTAAGCTAGATGACAGAAATAATTATAGATTTCTAAGGTATTATTATCACAGGTCCAGGGTTATAGGTGGAGAAAGATCGTCACAAAATAAGCCTTCAAAAAATGTATACAAATTAATAAAAACAAGAACATAAAGAGATACATTAGAATAATGTATAGCTTTCCTGAACTCTCTATTTTACGATGACTGATGAACACAAATATAAGATTTCGTAGTCCCTTTGTCAACAATCAGCATTCTCACGTTCTGTGAAGTAACAAGTAGAGATTAAGCGCCAACTCTATGGATAGTAAAAAGGCGGAGAAGGCCATTCCGAATCTGCTTGGTTTTAGCACTATAGATTATAGGATTCATTAAGGGGGGGAACAAAAAATAGACATAACTCATAATGAGGTGAACAATATGTGGGACCTGATTCCCAAACCGATGAATCAGAGATAAGCCAATCACTGTGACATAGAAAACCAGTACACAGCAGATATGGGAGACACAGGTATTGAAGGCTTTGACCCTTTCCTCTCTGGAAGCAATGCTCAGGACACTCTTCAGTATCAACACGTAGGAGATGAGAATCGTCAGAGCATCCAGGACAAAGATGAGGCCCACAAGTACAACTGGATACAGACGATTGAAAGTGATATCTGCACAAGCCAGTTTGATGACATCTTGATGGAGGCAGAATGCATGGGAAAGGATGTGGGAGCGACAATAAGGGAAAAAATAAAGGGGCATGATTGGGGGAATAACAGAGACAAATCCCCTCGTAAGAACTCCAAGACCAATCTTCATCACTCTAGCATTGGTGAGGATGGAAGTATATCTAAGAGGATTGCGAATGGCAACAAATCGATCATAGGCCATGGCAAGCAAAATTCCGGATTCTACAAAGGAAAGTGAGTGTATAAAGTAGGCTTGGGAAAAGCAGGCCCCATTATCAATCTCCCTGTGATCCAGCCAGAGGACTCCCAACACTGTGGGCATCGTGGTCAAAGTCAACCCTAAGTCTGTGGCTGCCAGCATGTCCAGGAAGTAGTACATGGGCTCATGGAGATTGTGATCTGCCTTGATAAGAAAGAGGAGGGTGCCATTGCCAAAAAGGACAGAGGTATAAACTACGACAAAGGGGACAGAAATCCAGCTGTGAGATGTCTCCAAGCCTGGAAACCCAGTCAGCAGGAAGGAAACAGAGCTGTTGTCTTCCCGCATGTTGGGTTTATCCTGAAGAAAATGAAATTCTCTCATTGAAGACCACAGAAATACATCTGGGCTGGCAAGGTATCAGTCCACTTATATCCTCTCAGAGTTCTTTTTAAGAGATACTATTTATAACAAGTCCTTGCTTCCCATGTAGTCTTAGAACAGCCATTATCCTTGAGAAAATGTGTTTCTCAAGACCTCAGAAACGCAACTCTGCTTTCAAGGTCGACCTCCAGGTGGATCATCTCAGAATCTTTTTTGTTTGTTGGTTGGTTTTGTGCTTTCCTGTTTACGGAGCACTTTCACACACGTCGCTTCTTAGGAATCAGGGCCCACTGGTGCCGGTCTGTATGTTTAAGATAGAAATCGGTTTGAGAATTTGGGGGGCTGATCTCAGGAGCTCTGCGGTCCTCTCCGGAGATCTCCCCAGGTGGATTCCAGGTCCAAGACACCCGACTTGCTCCATGCCACCTCTGTGACTCACAGGCCCCATGATCCTTGGCCCCTACGCGCCCCCCCAACATACAGTGCCCCCCATCCCACCCTGCCCCAGAGGATTCAACCAGAGCCACAGCGTGTCAACAAGCCGCCCCACCAGACTGGGGTCCCGGGTGGGTCTGAGTTACGCGGAAGGACCACCCTGGCAAGCAGACATCCCCACACTTGGTCTCACACAGCCCGGCTCCCCGCTGGCTCCACGCCACTAGCTCTGCTCCAGCTTGAGTTCTCGACCGCCAAAACTGAGAATGGGAGGCTTCCTGGTGGTTTGGGTTTAAATGAATACGCCCCTCCCCTTCCTTCCTCCCCCGTGGCCCCGCCTCCCTTCCCGCCCTAAGCCCGCCCCCTCCATTTTGGCGCCTTTTCCTTCCTGCCAGGTTCAGGTGGTTTAGGGACCTTTCTGAACACAGGAGTGGGGAGGGGTGCCCCAAATCTTTTTTTTGTAAGGTAATAATTAAAACAAACAAGCCATTATTTCTCACGACTAATCAATCATAGAACAACTTATAGCATCTTTTGTGGTCAAATTTGCATAGTCTCAGGCCAGCCAGTATTTAATCAAATTCTTGGTGCTTCAAAGCATGTGCATTTTAACAAGCTACCTACACCAGAACTTAGACAACACGCCCCTCAATTATGCAGATACATACAGTAATTCATATTCTAGAAAGGATTCTAAGGAGCTCAGTCTTCACCTTCGTTCAATCCACTCTTCAGAACGATAACAGGTTTCAGAGCAGTAGTTTACATCCCATATGATTTAGCATGTAGATTATTTCTCTAGTTCTCAGCAAAATCCCAGGAGTCTCAAAGAGAAAGTGTGAGAAGAGCAACGGTGCCATGACCACTTTCCCTGAGGAGCAAATAGAGAGTAGGGAAAGAGAATTCCCCCCACCTCATCCCTCCTCTCCCCCACCCCCACTCCCTCCCGCCCCATACCATTTTATGTATTCATTGTTGAGGTGAAAATACTTCATTAAGTATTTGTTATCTGCTTCTAAAACTTTGCAAAATTACTACCTGTGAAAATTGTGCATAGTAGTTATAAGTTAGATTGTTTTATACCTTGGTCCTGGGATAAATGATTATCATCATCAAAGAGATAACCCATAATAGGACTTACCCCTGAGTTTGAAATGATTAGTTTTCTCATTTTTATAGGTGTTTTCTTTCTAATTCACCATTGCTTTTCTGTATGCCTATTGAAATTGCCCCTAAAATTAAATCTGTCTCTTTTTAATTTCTCCCTATGTATTTTAACAGTCATCTTTCTGGTCTCCTTCCGGTTACCCCAAGCCATAGTTTTCCCTTCAACGTTCTTTAAAACTCTGTTGCTGTCTAAACAGGGAACTGACAGCTAGTAAAAGAGGGAAGAAGTATCCTTAGAGTTTTATGGATATATATCTATATATCTATATATATATATATGAAACAAGAAATGCAGAGTTTTTAAAAATCATGAGGAGGAATTTACTTACATGGATTTATTCACATTTCAAAGCTTATTAAGATCCTATATGAATAATGAAAACAAAAGAAGAAATCTATGAAATAATCAAGGCAAGAGAGAATAACAGAAATGAAGGAAAGTTAAAGGTAATGAATGTTGCATTGTTCAACTAGTACTAAGAGTTTCTGATTAATTGACAATGGCAGTGAGAGGGAAAAATAAGTTGAGACTGATCCTAGATTTTGACTTGGGTAAATGGAAAAGTTGCTAAGCTGCTTACTCAGATGAGAAGGTCTGGGAACGTCTGAAGAGGCCGAAATAGAGTAGTGAGTAAATATGCTGAATTGGAACAAGTGCATATCCTGATTATTTCATGTGCTATACAGAAACAATTCGAGCCATTGAAACAAAAATTCAAAAAAGATAATTGTCTTCAAATGTGTCCCCAGTATAAATCAGATGCATCAATAGGTCCCCGCCCCTCCAAATACTGTTTTCTTACCACATATCTGTACAAATGAAATATAATTGCAGTAGATTCCAACTTTGAAGAACTACCAAGCAATTGGGTATGAAGAGATGTTTGAACCTCATTGCCTTTATCCTAAAGGATGGAAAGTTAACAGAATCATTTCTCAGTGTTTGTATTCTTTCCCCATGACTGGAATGTAGCTTCCATTGAAAATACAACTAAAACAAACAAACTCACTACCATTGAGTCTATGTCAACCAAACTCACTACCATGGAGTCTATGTCAACTCACAGCGACTTTGTGGGGTTTTGAGACTGTAACTGTCTACGGGAGCAGAAAGCTCAGTCTTTCCCTGCGAGCAGCTGATGGTTTTGAACTGCCATTTTACAGATCAGAGCCCAACAGGTGAGCAGTATACTACCAGGGTTCCTTGAAAATATAATGAGAGAGGTTTATCCTTTGTTTACTGGATACAAGGATTATATCACATAAATCTTCTGTGTTCAAAATACGACTTTCTTCCTCTGTTCTCCTCCTTAGACTTCTTACTCTTTAACCATTAGAATTTCTAATCCAATATCTTGTCATATTCCAGTTTGTGAGGAATTCCTTCTTGTAAAACATAAGTAGACAAATAATGAGGACTACAAAATAAAAGCTACTGAAGATGAGAGGGATTAGTTGTGTTTTGACACTAATCTTCAATTCAAAGCTAGGTTCCCTGTTACCAGCCAATATCATATATACTTATATGTGAAGATATAAGACAGACATACAAAATCACCATGACTCACACCACAAGAAAAGTTCCCAGCTGGAAAATGTTCTTGCTTTCTGAGAAAAATCAAGAGGAAAGAGTGAAGATCATAGAGAAAGGAGGAGATAATGAACGTAAGGATGCATAAGGGAATCTCTATGAAGAATCTATTGTTGAGCTCTTAGAAAAGCATTACAGGAATAACACTTGTGTGCTTTATGTAGAAGATTGATGAAACAAGAAATACTTCTATATTTATCCATCGGATGGGAGAGGACCAAGGAAGATTGTCATCCCTCCAAATGGAAAGATCAACATATTCATATCCCTGAGCATGATGAAGGAATCCTGGTCACAGATTAGGTTAAGCCTGGGTTTGCAAGCCAAAATGCCAGGTTTGATCAGTCTCTATGAAGAAAAAGAAAAGTCAGTCTGCTTTTGTAAATATTACAGTCTCACAAACCCAACAGAATAGTACTGCTCTATCCTACAAAGTTGCTATGAGTTGAAATGGCTGTGAATTTAATTTCCTGGGTTTGGGCATGTTGGGACTTATATTCTCATGACCAAGTCTCTTTCCAAATTCTATCAACTTCAGCCTGAGGTCTATGCACCCATCTGTGGCTATGGGGGATGAATATATGGCCATCCTCCACCCCTTACCTATCTGTAAACAGTTTACAGAAGACTTTTCTATTATTTGCTTTTGTCTGGGCATTTTCCCACACTTAATCTGAAACCCACCTTGTTTTTGTGTTGAGATGCAGATGCTTAGGTCTTACCTGAAGATTCAGATCAGTTAGCTCCTTCTCAGTCTACTTAGATGCTCAGTCTGTGAGTATATTTATGCACACACACACAAAAACAAACACCTCCCCAGAGTTCCCTTTTCAGCCAGTTGAAATATTGAGACATATTTTCCCTTGCTTAACCTGATTATCTCCCCTGGGTATTAAATTAACTTCTACAAAAAAATTACAGATTGACTACAGGCCCAGGTGGTGTGTGTGTGTGTGTGTGTGTGTGTGTGTGAGAGAGAGAGCAGAGAATTTATTCTAATGGTCCCAGCAGATGCAATTTATTCTTCATATCTACTACAAAGGCCAAACATTTCCCAGATAGTTTCAGCAGAAACTTATGAGTCTTCATGGCATAAGTATTTTGAAATATCATTATATATTGTGACTGGTTTACTTAGAATTAATTTGAGAGAGGAAAGTTAGATACAATACAATCAATACAGTAAAATCTATAGAATTGTCACTAAAACACACCATAAATTCAGTCTTCAGTTTGGAACTAAATATTTTTCCTTATTAAATTCATCTCACTAGAATTATTTTTGTTTCCTAGATATTTAACAGACACAAAGTAGCACAGCCATACATTACCCCGTAATTTCATTCTAATGATATAATATCCTATTTTCTCTCTTTACCTGAGAGAAATGATATAATATCCTACTTTCTCTCACTACCCTGCCTGTTGTAAATTTTAGGAAGGAATAGACATATATAACAATAAGATGAAAATTAAGAATGTGATATTAAATTATTTTTGCAAATGAAATATATCAAAGAAGACTTAGATAAATGAAGAGTCATATTATGTATATGCACTAAAATAATTCAACATTGCAAAGGTTCTAATTTTCCTCAAATTGATCTATGAGCTTAATACATGTACTACCAAAATTTCAGCAAAATATTTTTCAGATGTAGGCAAGCTTATTAATAATAATTACATAGAAAGATAAAGAGATACAAAGATAAAATAATTTTGAAAATAATTGAGTGGGAGGCATGATTTTACCTTGAGGCTAATTGTGCAG